GTAGAAGAAGAATATATGGAAGAGGAAAATGTGCTGATTAGATGAAATTTTAAGTTCTTCCTTACTTATTGGTTCAGGTTTTTAAGTCTTTGAGGGTTCAATACAGCATTTAGCAATGTTTGTGTTGATTAAACCCTACTAAATAAGAAAATAATAAGAAGAAATTAGTATATAAACACACAAAATGTTTAGTTTAATTTAATAATGTCTATTTTATAATTATAATCTCAAAAAAGAATGAATAAAATAGTATTTTATAGTAGGAAGTAGAAAACTTCTAGGCGATTAGGTGAGGCGAGCCTCAAAGGGCGCCTTGTCGCCTAGGCATCGCCTCGACAACTATGCTGAAGGAGTTTCTGTGATAAGTTGGCTGCTAAAAAAAGAGGAAGTTTTTTGGGTGTCCAGAAATGAGATTAAGAAGGTCAAATCACAAGAGATATGTAGTTGAAGATACAATTGGTACAAAGATTAACAAATAGCCTGGCTGACCATCTTGTAAAACAAGGAGTGTATATATAAATCATCTTTTTTGGGCTACCTTGTAAATTGTATGGGGGGTGGGGAGACATGAGGGGCTTGTAATGGGTTCTGTATTGAGTTGTACTTCTCAAAACTGGGTTTTATGATGTATTTGGTTCAAATGTTCTAAGCATTTGGAGGGTTAGCCGAGGATAACAACTTAAATGGTTGTACCTCTTCGACTGTAATTTTAAAATTCTAATAATTTTTTTCAGTTATTCATCAGAAAAACAATTCGTACTTTCACACTTCTCAAACGGTCCTCTTCTACATGCTGTTGGTTGTTACCCTATTGGGGTGGTTGGGGCACAAGCACACTGATATGGAGAAGAACAAAGTGCTCTGAATGCTCTTGAACTCTGTTTCAGGCGCAGTTTACAAATCCACTGTATTGTGCCGAAACGATGTATCACACTCATGAAATGAACTGTCTTGCAGTGATATGATGTATTGTAGCCCCCTTATGGTTTCTGTCAAAAAAAAAAAAAGATTTCTAGGTTACCTGAAAAACAGTATTTCTTCCTTCTTGCTCAAACCAAGCATGAACAAGGCAGTAAAACAACAGTTATAGACAATATTCAAGCCAAAGAAACTGCAAGAAAAATACAGAATAATAACGCACCATTTTATTTTTTTTCATGTGGAAAACGTCTCCAATGTGAATAGGAGAAACCACGGTGCACTAACCTAGTAAATCTCCACTATAATGATGATAATGGGAATACAAAGAACTCTCTGGAAGTAGCTAGAGATAGAAGCATCAAATGAACAAACCCTCTTGGTTACAGCCAAAACTTCTCACCAACAAGGTCGGATACAATCAACAAAGAAACCAAATACTTCTCAGCTCAAAAGGAAGAAGCCTCTTGGAAACAATCTTTGGAGAAGCTGGATAGCAACAACTTACTGTGGTATGAGCCTTCACAGTGCACTCCCTCCAAGAAAAACCCTTCTTGTGTTTTACCAAAACCTTTCAATAGAATACCAAAAGTCTCTCATACTTATCCATCTTCTTTTCCTTTTGAAAAAAGAGCAGTTAGAGACAAGAGTGAAATTACTCTCTTGCCCCTCCGCCTCTCAAGTGGGCTTTCCTCATGGGGCTGGACCCATGGTACACCCAACACCCTCTAAGAGCATAATGCCTCCTTGGTCTAAGGAACACTCAAAGAGTTATCGGTTAACAAGATAAAGGAATAGACAATCAAGAGGAAATTTCTCTCTTGCTATAATCTTTGTAAAGAAATTGATGATCATTGATGACTTGTCTATGTTTCAAGGGATTCAAATCATTGATCCCCCTTGTATCTTCGGCTTCAACATCAAAGCATGATCCTAAACTTGTGATTTTTTTTTATGGCAGAAACTCCCATTTTTCATAATATTCTGATATTAGTGTCCTATGAATTTCTTATGCGTTTTGAAATATCATCAATATTTCTGCCTCCATGCCTTTTCTTTTCGCTGCCAATCTAAGTTTTCTATTTAAAAAATACCAATGCAGCTGGTTATATCTATATTATTCAACAAATGAAAGAACTAATTGCAGCAGCTGGGAAGAAGGCCTATACCTTTGTCATGGGTAGACCAAACCCTGCAAAACTTGCCAACTTCCTTGAGGTAATTTTTTTCCTTGTACACCTAGCACAAATAGCTTATATTTCAATTCCAATTCAGGGTATTGAGAATAGGTGGTTTATGATTTTTCACAGTGCAATGTTTTCATTAACGTTGCGTGTCCGCAAACAACTCTTTTGGACAGCAAGGAGTACCATGCTCCTATTATTACACCTTTTGAAGCTTTATTGGCATTTAACAGGTAATGCATGTAGGGTTCTTGTTATATTTTTTATTTACTAGAAGCTCATAATTAAGGTGGTTGATTTTTTTTTTTTGTCTTGCTTCCAAGGTTCCAAGTATCGATACATCTTTGTATATTGGCAGAGGTGTATCGTGGTACTTTAAACCACACGCCTTTTTCTTTTTCAGTTTTAGGCATACAAACACACACACACGTATATATATATATATATATATATATA